GTGGCTGGCGCCTTAGCCGGTTGAGCTATAGGCGCCGAGCCAAATTATTTTTTCTTGATCTGTGAAGTGTGACTTAGGTAATTTGATGGGGACTGCATTTGCCTAGTATGGACATTTTAACAATGTTGATTCTATTGGCTGGGCATGGTAGCTCACTCCTGTAATCCTAGCACTCTGAGAGGCCAAAGTGAGTGGATCACTTGAGCTCAAAAGTTCAAGACCAGCCTGAGAAAAACTAGCCAGGCATTTGCAGGTGCCTGTAGTCCCACCTACTTGGGAGGCTGAGGCAGGAGGATAACTTGAGCCCAAGAGGTTAAGGTTGTTGTGAGCTATGACACCATGTCACTCAACCCCGGTCCATGGAGAGAGACTGTCTCAAAAACAAAAACCAATGTTGATTCTGCCTAGCTGTGAGACTGATATGTTTTCCCATTTGTTTGTATCCTCTGCGATTTCTTTCCTCAGAGTTTCCTAGTTTTCCCTTTAGAGACTTTTCACCTTCTTGGTTAAGTATATTTATTCCCAGGGATTTTATTTCTTTGCAGCTATTGTGAATGGTAGTATGTCTCTGATTTGACCTCAGCTTCACTTTTATTAGTATATAGAAATGCTACTGATTAGTATAACTTGATTTTTCATATCCTGAGACTTTGCTGAATTTATCAATTCCAGGGGACTCTTGGTGGAATCTTTGGGATTTTCTAAATACAAGATCATAACATCAGCAAAGAGTAATAGTTTGACCTCCTCTTTCCCAATTTGTATACCCTTACTATTCTTCTCTTGCCAATTGCTCTGGCTAGGACTGCCAGCGCTAAGTTGAATAGAAGTGCTGACCATAGGCATTCTTGTCTTCTTCCAGTTATTATTATTTTAACTTTTACCCATTAAGTATGAAGTTGCCTGTGTGTTTGTCTCATATGGCTTTTATAATTGTGAGATCTGTTCCTTCTGTGCTTAATTTGTTGAGGCATTTTATCATGAAAGGGTGCTGGATTTTGTCAGATGCTTTTTCTCTATTTATTGAGATGATCATATGGTCTTTGTTTTTGCTTCTGTTTATGTGGTGAATCATCTTTATTGATTTATGTATAAGTTATTCTTGTATGACTGGGATGGAGTCTACTTGATCCTGGTAGATTATTGTTTTTTTTATTGATATGCTATTGAATTTTATTGAGGATTTTTGCATCTGTACTCATAAGGGATATTGGTCTGTGGTTTTCTTTTTTTGTTGTATCCTTCCCTGTCTTTGGTATCAAGGTGGTCCAAGCTTCATAGGATGAATTGAGGAGGATTCCTTCTCAATATTATGGAATAATTTATTTTATAGGTACTTGGTCTTCTTTGTAGGTCTGATAGAATTCAGCTGTAAATCTATCTGGTCCAGGGCTTTTTTTTTTAATCTTGCTGGGAGGTGTTTTATTACTGACTCAATTATTTCCTCTACATTTTCTAGTTTATGTGAGTAGAAATTTATATAGTATTTATGGCTGATGTTTTGTATTTCTGCATTATCACTTGTAGTGGCACCATTTTCACTTCTGATTGAGCTTATTTTAGTCCTTTTTCTTTTGTTGTTGGTTAAACTAGCAAGAGGTCTGTTGATTTTGTTTATCTTTTGAAAGAACCAACTTTTTGTTTTGTTAATCCTTTTTATATATATATATATATATTTTTTTTTTTTTTTTTGGGAAACAGAGTCTTACTATGTTGCCCTTGATGGAGTGCCATGGTGTCACAGCTCACAGCAACCTCAAACTCTTGGGCTTAAGCTATTCTCTTGCTTTAACCTCCCAAGTAGCTGGGACTACAGGCACCCAGCACAACCTTCGGCTATTTTTTTGTTGTAGTTTGTCATTGTTGTTTAGCAGGCCCGGGCCAGGTTGGAACCCACCAGCCCCAGTGTATGTGGCTGGTGCCCTAACCACTGAGCTATGGGCACCAAGCCTGCTTGTAACTTTCATTTCTCTTCTAAAAAGTAATATCCCCTCAGGTTGCCTCTATCCTGTTGTCCTCACCTCTTATAGCACTGTGAATTATATTGGGACCCCAGCTTAATCTCTGGGGATAAGTGATCCTTGTAAGAATCAGCCCCACCTTGTTTCATTGAGTTAGTAGATGGTGTAATGAGCAATATAGAGTTATTCTCCCTGTTGATGGTTGATGCTTGCAGGAAAGAGCCGCCTGCCAAGATGCCAAGATGTTCTTTTTTTTTTTAAGCTTTTATAATTATTTTTTATTAAATCATAACTTTGTACATTGATGCATTTATGGGGTTCAGGGTACTGCTTCAATATACAATGTGAAATGTTTACATTGAACCAAGTAACACATCCATCACAATTATACTCATTTCTTAATAGTTTTGAAATGTACCATTGCCTCATGCACATTAGGTGAGGTCCCCCGAGTACCGTTTCCTCTCCCATATCCCCTCTCCCCAGCCCTCTCTCTCCTCTTCTCTTCTACTTCATGGAGCAAGATGTTCTTTTATGTCTGTGATAAATTATAGTTTAGTCCCTCAAGTGGAGCACTTGAATGCACCAGGCTTTGAGCTGTAGCTCCCAGGGGGTTGATTGATCCTACCACAGCAGAGGTGGGTGAAGGTAGGCCATGGTTAGGTTGTGTGAGCCTGAAAGTCTTTGCAAAACCTTGGCCAGGTTCAGAGGTTGTTTTTACCAGCAACTAAGGGAAGCTTCTGGGAGCAGGGTCAAGACAGGCTCTCCAGACAAGGAAGGGGGCCACAATTTCCCAACAGCCCAGGTGCCTGCACACACCTCTTAATTACTATGACCCTGTGGGCTGGAGGCTTCCCTGCCAGGCCTTGCAGCTTTCCTGTGGGGGATGGGCAGTATGCCAGATCATCATGTTTCAGATCCCCACAGTATTCTCTCATCAGTTCCACCTACATGGCCCCCCTCACCTCCCTAGTTCAGCTCTCAAACCTCCCCTTTGTGTCTTCCAGCAACCCACTTGAATCTTGGGGGAATGGGATCTGGCCTGCATGTCTAATCCAAAGACATGCATCTCCAAAAAATGCTGGCAGGCAGGAAGCTCCTAGATCAGGCACCCCAGATCCACAGAGAAAGGCATAGGCCTTACCCTCTGTGGAAACCTCAGACTGGAGGACACAGCTGGGGAGAGATGGTCACTTGCCAGATTCTTTGCTCAAATTGCTCTCCTGGTTACAGTAGATGAGGAAGGGCCAGGGAAGGATAAGAGTTTGAAGGGAAGAGATCTGGCTCTGTAGCCTCTAGGGGAGCCCCACTTGGAATGTCTAAGCTCTGTGATCACACAAATTCTCCCCACAATTCCATGGTTGCTATAGTGTTTGGGCTCATAGGAGTAGGAAAGCTTCCAAGTAATTTGGTAGCCCACTGATCACCATAGGAGTGTGGGAGATAGAATCCCCCTTTACTCTTTCACTGGGACCTGAGCCTCTCTGGGTTTGATTCTTTTTTTTCCCCTTTATCTTCTTCCTTCTCTGCTTCACAATTTTTCTCCACAAGGTTCGCACTTCTATGACCTACATCTGAGCTGTATCCCTTTTCCCCTCTGCTTTTACTGAAACCCTTCCTTTATTCTGGGTCAGTCCAGCAAGTGATGTCTCTCATCAGGCATCTTACTCCCCATAATTCCCATTTGTTTTTCTAAATCCTGAAGTTTGGTTTGGTATATCATCTAATTCTCCAAAATAATATAGTGGAAGAGGCTGGGCACAGTGGCTTGTGCCTATATTCCCAGCACTCTGAGAGGCCAAGGCAAGTGGATTGCTTGAGCTCAGGAATTCGAGACCAGCCTGAGCAAGAGCAAGACCCTGTCTGTACTAGAAAAACTAGCCAGACATGGTGGCACATGCCTATAGTCCTAGCTACTCAGAAAGCTGAGGCAGAAGGATTGCTCAAGCCTGCAATTGCCGTGAGCTATGACACCATGACACTCTAGCCTGGGCAACAGTGGGATTCTGTCTCAAAAAAAAAAAAAAAATTTATGGTGGAAGAAAAATGACTTTTGGAGTCAGATTTTAGTTGCAATATGGCTTCATTTTTATTACCTGTGTGATTTGGGGCAAGTTACATCTTTTAAGCCAGTTTTTCTCGTGTACAAATTGACAGTGACAATAACCTTAGATGGTATTTCTGAAAATGAAAAAGATCGTATATGTAATGTGCCTGTCTAGTTTATGGTGGTCTCTCAATAAGGTGGTGGTGGTAGTACTATAATAGTAGGGTATTTCCTGTATAAGTCATTACTATCCAAATTAGGAGGCAAGTGAGGTACTTGAAGCTGAAAAAGCAGTCTTGCTTTTCTTTTTCATGGGGTTCAGTTGAAGGGTTAGATTATAATGTACTCTGAGTAATTTGATATTGGCCACACATTTATAGATTTAATCTTTTATGTTGATCAGTTGGTTTTATTCCATCTGATAACAGCAATGCATCTCTAACCATTTCTTGCTAATGCATACTAATGTGTGTTTTGTTTTATTTTTTACTAAGAGTTATAAAAGAAATCATAGCTAATGTAGACCTATTGCCAGTTCTTTAAATAATGGTCACAGACATCTCAGAACTCCTCCTGGTAGATTATAACATAATTTTTATATAACCAGGAACAATGCAGTCATCATTTTCTCATAGAATCCACTCAACCTGTGTGTGAAGATTGTGCAAGGAATCCGAGCCATGGAAGTTGATTCTAGCCAGTACTCTTTGGAATTGATCCAGATGGTCCACGCATGCCTTGACCAGGTAGGTATTGACATATTTATTCATTTCAGTTTCATATTTCCACTTCTAGCCTCCATGTTTGGGATATGGCATCAAAATAAATTATATAAAACCACATTCACTTCCCTGGGGTAGGATGTATTTGTGGCTGTACCCAGAATAGGCATTGGTAATTCACGATAGTTTTGTGCTACAGTGAATAAATTCTTACTTTATAAATAGTAATTTGTGAAATAATTTTGCCATTTAAATTGTGCTCCATTTTATAACCAAGATTAATTTCTAAATATTGATTTTTATGAAACTATGGGCAAAGATGATTTAGAATTCTTAATATAGAGAATATATTAATATATATTTCTCATATCTCATAGTTCCTTTGCTATGTAGTTCTGGTATTATTCAAAATAAGGTCTATGAACCATTGACTTCAGAATTACCAAGGAGTGAGGGAGTTTTTTAAGTAAAAGAAGATTTCTTGAGCTCCACCCAAGACCAGCTAGATCAGAATCTCTGTGGATAAAGCCAGGAACTCTTTATTTGTAACAAGCTTCCCAGGTATTTCTTCTATACTATATACTGAGGTTTTAGAGCCACTGACCTAATTGAATAGTGAGGAAGGTACATTGTAAACATCTTTCATGTGTAAGTGTTGATGATACTGAGGTGAGAAGCATGAAACGTGGAGTATGACATGAGAAGTTATGATTTTTGAAACAAAAGGATAATACACTGTGGTTTTCATTAATTATCTTACAGCCTTCTACAAGAAGTAAAAATGCTCTTTAGATCCCATATACACATTCACATTAGTGAAAACTAACTTGATTTTTACTTTTTAGGATCCTGAGCAGAGACCCACTGCAGATGAGCTTCTAGATCGCCCCCTTCTCAGGAAACGTAGGAGGTAAAGTACCAAGAAGTCACTCTGTTGTCTTTCCTGACTTGGTTGACCATGAGAGGCCATATCAGAGGATCATAAGAAAGAGTGATGCTTTCTGAGTTGGACGCTTAAGTGCTATTTTCTTACTTTTTTCTTTTGAGACAGAGTCCCACTCTGTCACCCTAGGTAAATTGCCGTGGCATCATCATAGCTCACAGCAACCTCAAACTCTTGGG